TGCACTTCAACAAGGCCCCTGAATTATGCAACCTCCGATGTGAATCCGCGAAGTCTGCTAGAAGCGACCGTATTTCGCACTGGTCCGATATACTTTCAAGTGCGAAGGAAGCCTCGAGCGTTAGCGACCTACCTGAGATTTTCCTCTACTGTGTTGTCTCTGATAAAAGCATTCTACACAACCACCAACCGCGTAAAAAATATGAAGGACTAATGGAAGATCAATCAGAGTAGGAGTAGTGGCGAGCGGAGTACTTCACCTAACTTCTAAACCACTGGTTTTCGGACGAGAACCACCTAGTTAAGCTGGGATTAGTTCGGTTGTCAGTCTCCTAAAAAACAAAAATGCTCCAGGAAAGGATGCTATTCTCTTTGCGGTGTATCAGTATTACCTCCCCTTAATCCTTCTATCTATTCCTTTTTTGGGGGGGCGAGGTGGCTCAAGTGGTTAGAACGCGAATTTACTGATCGGAATGTCCGTGGTTCGAACCCGATCTCTGACTCTCGACTTCCCCTGTCTAGGCTTGGGCAACCTGACAGTATCCCAGCCCTGGTGCTTCCTTCGGGTTGCATGGCAGCTAGGCACGAAAGGGTGCTACAGCTGAACGATTTATGGATTACATCTCTTCCGTTTGAGAGTCAGTCGTTTCGGACAGCGGCATCTCGATCTCTAAGAAAGGTTGCAAAACAGCATGCGAAAGTAATCGGGGAATAGGTCTTACAGGTAGCGCCGCTGAGCTCCTTGTTTCTGTAGCACTAACATATAAAGTGCTTGAACAGGACTCATTTAAGATGGATTACTCATCGGGAAAAGCTATGTAGTCCAGGACATCGAATTGAATTACAGCAGAAAACCATTACCTGCTTCATCGACTTCAACTATATCCATCATGAATGAGTGTGGACTAACTTCTTTGCTGATGGTATATCGACCGAACTTGTTGCCTACAGCATAGCTTGTTACTTATCAACGAAGGCTGTTGTCCTAGTTTACGGCAAACAGACCCATCAGTTGGATCTCACCTCTCACCAGTGCTATTTGGCGTCGTTATTGACTGGATGATACGACTGATACTGGAGGGATACTGTGGTGCCCAACTGAACCCAAGCATTTGGACTATAGACATTGAATATGCCGGCAGCACTCTTACTCGGCGATCTACGAGCTGTTTTTGATGAAGTCAGCTGCCATGCAGAACCCATCGGACTTGTGACCGGCACCAATAAACGAAAATCTTCCACTCAAACAACTGCTCAACGCACAACCCGTCGCATCGGATATGTCGAACTGAATGCGTCAGTGCATTTCAGTATTTGGATTCTAACATTCTACCTGGCAGGAAGGAATGGTTAATCTTCCTATCGATACAGCAAAGATGCGCATTCACGAAACTTATGAGGACGTTATAAAGGAGAGACAAAAGGATTAGTGCCAACCTGTCCACCCACTCCACTTCCTACTTGAAACCCGGTCACTTCGCGCACCAAGCATTCGCCAGCTCGAGGCATTTCAACCGTAGGATTCAAGGCGCGTTCCAAACATCCTAGGGTTAAACAAAATATCCAACTCAGTGACTAGAGAACGCTGCTTTAGCATCCTACGTCTCAGACGACCACAGCGCGGCAGTGACGACTTAAGTTGGTCGGGGACCTTGCCCGAGAACCCGAAATCGAGTTTTGCACACTTACACTGGCTTCTGTGCCATGTCCGGTGTAGTGCTGCCATCTTTGGTTGAACCTGGCACAGTACCGTCAGATTGGATATAGAGGGATTCGATATGAGCTCAACATACAGTATTCGTTGCTAGAGTCGGAATTTGATCTCAACGTGCGTGGACGTAGCCTGTGGCTGCCCTTTGACGGTAACAGTGCGGGAAATCTGTGAAGTTCCCCATCCTGTCATAGGAGACAGTCACCGTAAAGTTAGGTAACTCATGTATTTAACCAAGTCTCCTAAAGTGTGGAGTTTTTTGGTCTCCTTGGTCGTTTTAGTTTGTCTACTGCAGTGCGTATTAGTGTTACGGATGTTGTCAGAAACAAATAGGAGATAAATTTTATTTTGGCGCCAGGTGCTGACTGAAGACATGTCAAGTGTCACGTTGGAGTGCGTTGAACGGAGGTGTTATCTCTCTCCGAGCATCCACATATCCACTATGAGCTCGGCACTCGTAAATGCATTCTAGCGGTATTTCCTTGGGACTGCTCCACAGAGTACTACATCACCTTCGTTAGTATCGCTAGGGATAAACAAAGCCAGTTCGGGGTGTCGGGCTAAGCACACCGCTAATTTATGAATGGTTAGAAGTAATAATCCAGATTAATTTGGCTTGGGCTTGTGAACTAGTACTAAATAACTTGTCTCGTATATGAAGTGTTTAGAGTTCAGATCCCTAACAGCGTGGAATATACATTGCTGATGAACTATTAGACGAAAACTCGAGTCAACTGTTTCTTTGTCGTGAACTTACCAGGATATTAGGGCCGGCGTAAGAGGACCATTCAAACGAGAGTGCTGTGTGTTAGTAGACTTCAATATATGTGCACCAGTAAACTTCAGATGCTGAGAATTGAACGTACTGCGTTACCGGACCGACACGAATGTTACTGCGACTGTCGTAGCAATCTTACTTGTCCACTAGTGATTGTCACATACTCGGGTTGCCTTCACTGAGCGACTAAATGTACGACCCATCAGTCTTCTGCCTAAGCTCACGCATCCAATGGTGGCGCGCTCGGTGGTTAGAGCGCGAAGGTCTGTGTTTCGGACCCGACCTCTGCATCTCGACTTCTCCTGTCTAGGCTTGGGCAACCTGGAAGTATCCCAGCCCTCGTGCTTCCTTCGGGTGGCATGGCAACTAGGCGCCGAAAGGGCGGGTCTCTCGCAAAGCCAAATTTGTTTGCAAATGAGTGTGTTTCGCTAGTTTCGCGCAATTTAGTTTCAAGGAGAACATAAGGTTGACGGAAACTCGGGGACTATTGAGTCCCAAGAAGGGCGAAACTGATCGTGGGCTGTCGAAGAGTTTTCAGCAGCTTTATGAGTAGTGCATTACGAATAATCTTATTTACTGTTACGCTAAAACTCACCGTAGGGTTTAGGAGCACAGAATAATATGGTCATCCTAGCATCCACGGTGCTGTATAGTTTTCATCGACTAGCGAAACTATAACACGGAGCCGATATTTTGTTGATACACGTTTAATATATGAACACCTGATTAGTTCAGATTCACTCCTAATTACTTTTTCAACACTTTAAAAGTGAATACATTTTGAACATCATCTTAAATCGACCTCTAAATACATCGACTTTTGTCGAACGAAAACCTCAATTTCTGGCTGGTCTGTTGCGTGTTCCATGGGTCAACTCTGTGAACAGTTCCACAGTGGATTTACAACTTGCCTCTAAGAAGTTTGCCTTTTAAAGTGGACCATGTGAGCGCTTGTAATTTCTTCCTTTGCTTCAGTTCCCAGTTGGTGAAGACATCACCAAAGCAGTCATCTTTGGGCAGTTCAACTCATCGGCCATCCGTCTTGTTCCCACTCACCACTGCACAAACTCAGGTTTGTGGTGATTCTGGCCGAAGCGGCTTAGGTCCTCCATCGCAGTTGATCGGCCCTTGCCGTTTGCCTTCCCCCTTCTCGAATATCTTCAGTCATCTTGCTCTGAATATCGCAGATTCATTGGCCAGCTTGGTGATCAATATGCCAGATGTGCAAGCAAAAAAGAATGTGGATATCATACCGGACAAGTAAGATCCAAACATAAATTTTCTGCCATAATAAACGGCGAATAGGTTTTTCAATTATTTTCTTTTTTGTCTCGCAGGAAATTTATTCTCAACGATTTGCTGTGCACTTCTCGGCAGAACATTATGGCTTTGAGACCCTGATTTCACCTTGATGAACTAAATGAGAATATGTACCGTGGACACGTACATATATAGCCCAGCTGTAATACCCTTTCGGTGCCTAGCTGCCATGCCACCCGAAGGAAGCACGGGGGCTGGGATACTGTCAGGTTGCCCAAGCCTAGACAGGAAAAGTCGAGAGGCAGAGGTCGGATTCGAACCACGGACCCTGCGGTCAGTAAATTTGCGCTCTAACCACTTGGACCGTCTCGCCTCAGTGGAAAAATCTATTACCAGAGTAATTGTTATTATGGTCGGTCATCATGACCAACTGTAGGCATGTTGGAGGCGACCTGAAGATGGTCACTCCTTACATTGACAAGCGTTTCGCCTGATTCCGACCCGAAACGGTTCAGACTGCAGCAGACCCAAATTTACATTCCTTTGGAAGTTGATTTTTGCCCGAACAACAAGGGCGCTGTCAGTGGTAATGGCCGACTCGTTTCGTTTAACTCTTCCAGTTCTCAGAATCTCGACTGGTCGTTGTCCTTCGTCGACTGCGTCCTGTTGGCCGCCGGTGGTCGAGACGAGTGTGTTGTTGATGAACAGTCTGAATTAGATACGCTTTCTTCAACTACATCACTCACATCTCTTATCCTCTTCATCCGACTGGCTCGAAGCATGGTCAGCGCTGGTCTCTGGAATCTTGGCCATCAGACAGGTGTTTGGTGGCAGAACGTAGCACACTCTCGACCATCCTCTGAAAAAAAGTTGGAATTGAGCGGTGAGTATTGCTGTACTCCTTTTCATTTTCAATTTCTGCCAGGCTGTTTCACGCTTCAGAGCTCACGTGTTGCCGAGCTAGTCCATTTTTTCACTACCTCATATGATTCTTCAGGATTGGCTTACTTTCCCACGTATTTTGTCCCGGTTGGAATCTGACTTTTTGCTGGTGGTTCAGTCCGTTGTCGTTCACCAGAAGATTCGTTTTACACTCGACCTGCGTTTTTCGTCCAGTTTAGCACTTGTAGTACTTGTAGCTCACACATTTAGCTCTCGTTGATCCGACAAAATAATCATTTCCGCCCAGCCATGTCCATTTTTAGAGCTTGTTTATCAGCGATGTATTTCCGGTTTTGTCTCACCTGTTGTGCAGTTTTACAAATTTTCGTCGAGTCATTTCCGTCTTAAAGCCAGGTTGACCCGATTTCCACGGCCTTTAAGCTACCGACTTTCGTCTTTCCATCTCGTTTGTTCGTAGGAGGATGTAATGAAGCCATCTTTCAGTTATTTGGCGCCACTATCGGCTGCTGCCTTCGATCTCTCGTCGGGTGGGTGCGAAACACGGTCGACCGGCTCGAGTCTGTGATCACGAATCTAAATGGGCCTTCGGACGATCTGCTGTCCACCGATTCGAAGCCGGACGATAGTAGACAACACCGCTTGGTTGATTATGATTTGAAGTTGATGCAGCTGTTGGGTGAAGTAATGTCGCTTTTTCGTTGCCTTTCTCTTGATATCATTTGGATTAATCTAATCTTGGTACAAACGGGCGGTCACATACTCTGCTGTTGAAGCCATCGTAAACAATTTCTTTAGAGACACACCAAGGATAAGAGACATCAAATATGACCCAGTCTTGCCCTCAGTGGTGCTCCTGTATCCAAGCTATTGCTTTTAATGCATGGCTCATCTCGCAATCTTCCCAATCAATGGTCTACTGAAACCCTTAGATTGATGCTTCGATTATATCAGCCACCGCCTCCAATGCGCAACTATCTATCTCATCTCCTCAAATAATTGCGGTGAACGAAACTGTGGCAGCTAGAACCACCGTACGGCAAGTGCGCGGTTTTTACAGCTGCTGATGGTGGTGAGGACTAGTGATTTAACTTAGTTCAGTTGTGTGGGGATGGCTCGTCGATTACCATGAAACGCTTGACCATGGCTGTGCCAAGGTTTTAACAATGGACACCCAGCTTCAACTCTTTAGATTCACCATTCACTTTTCGCTAGCTGTGCACCTTCAGACACACACTAGTGGTTATAGTTTAAAGGCCGGACATGCAGAAAACTCGCTGCTTCACCACCTGTCGGGTTTACTGATTTCGGCAGCTGTCGTTCCCTAGTCTTCGTGATCGTTGCACATTTTGACTGTTATACGTCTTTCGAATCCCGGCCTAAATCACACTTCTTATTCAGCCGAAGGATTTGATTTTTAACCGATTTCTCTGCAGCTCGTTAGTCTTGTTAGTGTTGCCATTGGGAATTCGTATTTTGATCCTATAGCCCAAACTGCCTTACCACCCACAGTGAGGGACTTCAACCTCCGACGAACTTAACTCATATGTGACTGGTCAGCGGCTACTTTTCGGTTGGCGTCAATGCCATGAGTAGTAGAAAATATTGATCCAACAGTCAACCGTACTTAAACTCCTTTTAAGTAGAACCTGGTGCCATATGTTGCCGCTACATGTACTGGTTCCGAGTAAATACGTGTAATTTTGATGGTTTTTCTTCTGAGGACGCTGGCTGAGGCATTGTCGTTACCCCAAGTTTCAAGATCGAAACCTCATCCGTTCAACATACAAAATCTCTCGTGTTTACGGTCCATGTTCTCTTGATTGTTCGGTTTGAAAATGATAAACATTTTGCGAGCGTAATTGTGAACTGACCAAGTATATTCTTTGTTTTCAGTTCTCTGGATTTATCGTGGCTCTTGTTGAACAACCCGATATTGAGTGGCCTGAAAGTTGCCCGTGCAAGCATGAAGTAGGTTCCGTTACTCGTCCTGTCCTTCATTTTGACTTGGGTATCAACGTGCGTTGTTAAGTTTACTGACCGCATAGACATCCCAGCTCCATTTTAGTTCTCCCACGAACGTAACTGCCTTCCCGCTACTTTTCCCCCATTTCTGTTTTCGTCCCGTTTGCTATGACAGTCTGCATCAAGACACAGGCGTGTTCTCTCTGCTTACGGAAACAATCTGTATCATACTGTGCAGACCTAGCACCCCACTCATAGGGTTGCTGAAGACATAAAGAGACCCGGTGCAGCACATTCAGTTGAAGCAGACCGTCATAATCGAGAGATTCATTTGAGTCTCGCGTCAAGGCCAAATCTTGATGCAGTTGAGAGTATTTGGCACGTGATCACTTGATGTGGTTTCCGTAACTGAAGGCTGAGTGGCGCCATATCCTGTCCAAGTGCCAGTTAATCACACTGCTGATCACCCGCCCATGGCCGAGCGGTTAAGTTTTCTGACTACTTGCTTAGAGGTCGCGCGCTCGTGAGATGCGCACTGCTGGTGGTTTCCAATAAGGACGGAAAAGCTGAACAATGCTGCGCGGCTTTTCGGCATAGAATGCCTTCACTTACGGAAAGAAATCTCAATCGAAAAGAAATCTCTACTCCCACACTATCAACAATCGACTGAGTGTTAATGTGTGCACCTCGGACATTTGTGCTGGGCTAAACCTAGACCCCTTCCCCATCCTGTCTTCCTCTTTCCACTATGTGTTACGGGATTTTGTAGAATACATACTCTCGTTTGAACGATCGTCCTCCTGTCCTGGTGCAATCATTCTGGTTAGTCCATACCAAAGCCGGGGAAGCACTTGACTCGACTTTCGCTCCTATTAGATCTCGTCAGCAGGGCATATCCAATGACCGTGCCGGGCTTTGAACTCTGCACATCTGACATACGAGGCGAGCGTGTTACCGCTACTCCACGAGCGCACGCTGGACTCATCCTAATTTTGACGTCCGAATAGGCGAACATGTTCGCGCTTGAGTGATGTGAACGGAACGCCCGACATCTCGAACGGCGACGTAGTAACAGACCTTGGTTTTGTCGATCGATTGGTCCGCCAGTGTGGAAGCGCCAAAGACACGTAACCTGCTGGACACATTTTGTTTCAGGTGTTGGTGGTTGCGGGATTTTGTAGAATATATGACCCTCGTTTGATCGGTCGTTCTCCTGTCATCCTGGTTTGTTCGCTGAACTGAGCAATTTGATTGCACACGTTTCGTCATCAATCGGGGTGACATCATCAATGCGTTGTTAGGATGCGAAGTGGAGTGTAGCGGTGGGTTTATGCGTTGAGTAGTGTTGCATGTGTGTTAATATATGTGCTGTTAGCGGCAGCTGACCTTCGATCACGATTGGGTGTTCTGAAAAGGGCTGAAAAGCCTCGGAGTACCATACAGCCTTTTTATCCTCGTTGGGAATCACCAGCAATGCGCCTTTCACTGAACTCAAGGGAGTTTCTAACCTGCGACCTCCCAGCTAGTAGTTGAAACACTGAAACATTTGCAACGGACGAATGAACAGTAGTGTGACTAACTCGGACTTGGGATGTAAGTGCCTTCTTGGGGATCCTATATGGAGCCCATGACTTCAGTTACCTCATCCAGTGGTTTTGGGGGGCCCGACACGACTAGGTCATGTTTGGGTACCGTTGATACAGACCGGCTTGCGAAGTATATTCTCCACATCTCTTTCTCCGACTGACTTCGGGCGATACGGCTGTTATCCCATTTCGGCGGTGTTTTTCCTGTTAGCTTCTATCTATATTGGGCGTAGGAACCATAGACAGACTTTGTCGAAGGGCTTTTTCCATTCCTTTTCATGCCTGTAACTTTTCCTTAATTTCGTCGTGGATTGCACTTGTGCTACACATAGGGCTCCCGGCTGTACTTGTACGGGCATCGAAGCTTATTACTTGGGGGTCGGGATCGTTTGTGGTCGATTCGTGTCATGAACTATCGAGATGTTATTTTCTTTCATCGTAAGGAACCGATCTTACAGTATATTCAGCAACCCTAATCTACTTACCGTAGATCGGCTTTTCATTTCACAACTGTTTCTCACTAAGTGGTCAGGAACAACTCGCTCAACAGCTACACCTTCTTTCTATGTTTATTGCTTGCTCATCAAATCTGAATACTGGCTCTTTGGGTTTTCTGGTTTGAAATCTCTTCTTCCTCGACTTGATTGTGAGGCTTCTCGCTAAATGTGTTAGTTGTGCTGTTCCCCTTTGTTTTTTTCGAGAGTATTCGAGAATCACCGTCTCATGAAGATAAGATGACTCTTGCCAGATCTGTGGCTGTTGGACTTTCCGTAAGGAACTCAAGAGATATCTAACGCCTCATATACGTCGCGCTGTTTAAGAGCCTTCAATTAGCAATAAGTCTAAATTCAAACCGTCCTGTTTCGCCCATTTCGCATTCTATCTCTATCCTGCGCTCCTCCATACCTCATTGACTGTAAGCTTTTAGTGGATCGCCTGAGTTTTGAAGCCTTTCTCTTATAGTATTCTTCATTGTGTTTTTTAATCTTCATTATTGGTCAGGATTGTGTGTATGATGAAAATTCATCGATGACGCCTTGCTGGGCTTGACTTTAAAGACTGGATGATAATGGTCTCCCTTTTATATACTTCACGAATCAGATCTAGTACGTACATGCGTTGATTCTCTTCTCCTTAGATTTAACCTTCCAGGAAAGATCATGCGCACACGGTTTGTCAGCTGGTCCACTGCGATAATGAATTCTGGCTGAAGAAGGGGTTCACGTCCCTCGCATGGTAGTTTCTTTCTTAATCAACTTTTGGGCGTAGTGAACCAGCACGCTGAACGATCCTCAGATCCAGCTTATCCTTGGTACATGATGTGGACCTACTGAGCTTAATTATCATTGATATTCCGCAATTCTTCATTTCCAGACGCAGTAACTCACCTCCCTTTTCTCCTGTTCTGTCAATCCGCTTCAGGTTTATTCCACACTGATCCGTCTTTCCAAGGTACCTCTTCAGAGACTCCTCACACTACCAGCCATGACGTTCACTTTCGATTCGGTTCATTTGAACGAGAGTGGCGAATCACGAGTCTTCCGCGAATTGCAATGTGTCTTGTCCGCCTTTGGACAATTTACGCGTTCGCTTACCGCATTACTGTGGCGCCATGGAGATACACACTTTCAAGCCCACACGGACAGCCTACCGTCCTATTTCTTCGTGATTTCCGCACTTTCGCGGTGGATTCAGCAATATAAAATGTTTGGTTCCGATCGATGTGAAAACGCTTTGTCACCCGCACTCCCCGCAAACCCTTGCGAATTTGTTATCAGACCTGAGTTGGTCGATGAACTACACGATTTTGAGTCTTCGGCGGACAACAGTGATCACCAGTCGTGATAAGCAGCAGTATTATATCCGTATTGCAGCATTGTACATACTTAACTGGTCTATTCCAGCATTCCAGAGTGTTTCCATACTTACAACCTGTACACAAACCTATTTCCCTCCGCCAGTCCCGGTCTGATTTTTCTAGTTTTTTTTATTTTGCATTTTAAAGAAAAAAATATTTCGTATGATCTTATCGGATCAGTCTTTTTCTGGATTTCGTATGTTTTGCTCAAATGAAATTGATTTGCGTGATGAAATCCGATTACCATTTGGTTGCTGTGGTCGATAAACCACAGTCGTCTCACCCACAAGATCTCGCATATGACAACCATTGTATCTCAAAGACCATTTTCAATTCCTCGTAATTTCCTCTCTGGGTAACTCTCATAAATACCACCACTCAAAGACCGCCTGACCATTTGATAAGCTCCTTTCTCTGAGAAGCATGGAGCATGCAGGTGATCGTTATCCTATGGCAGTAGTGTCATTTCACGCGACTAGTGGTCGTTTAATGTGCATCAACTAGTTTTCCTCAATTTTCCTTCAGAGCATCCATTACCTAGGTTTCATAGGACCGTATTTTGAGAGTGAAAACTGAAAGCCCAGTCTTAATCTGAAAGGCAGATTCACTATATGTGCCAATATGTGCCTATGTGCTCCTTTACTTGCAGCTATGTGGCACAGTATACTGGTCGGGTAACCGGGAACGGATTCTAAAGCACCATCCGGCCTGTCTTTAGTAGGGTATTTTGAAGTGTTTCAAGCACTATTGGTTGAAACCAGACATGAAGTCGATGTGGATTTCGCATTCCAAATCACCCCATAGAATCCAACGAATCAGTCACAGGTAGTGAAACGGCGCCTCTTAGCTAAAGCGGGTCTAATTATCATCAGGTTAAGAATTCTTGTCACAGGCATCCAAAAAGAGACATGCACACTACGCTTTGGACTAGTCCCAACCATCAGTCTAGAACGATAATCTAACCACGCCACATGATAATTACTGACTGGATCTGATCTCCTTATTGATTAGACTGATCTTGGTGTGGGGACAAAATTTGCATATTGCGACCCTGTACTTGTAGTGACTACGGGGAAAATTACCAGGAGCGTTCGTTCGTCAATACACCTTTTATTACTGAGGAAACGAACTAATCTTGCGTGTGTATCCACTAGCCATCAACTTATGACATCAGCTTATGACACCGTTGCACCGCTTTTGCCGTAAGCCGGAATGAAAGGCACATGGTTCACTCGGCCTACAGTAACCTGTCTTTAAGTGATCATGATGACTACACAGTTTGGGCCTCTTCTTGTGGCAAATACGGTACCCAAGCATCGACATCACTATCACATTTGGTTAAGACTATGCCACTGATAACTCCGCACGTGCAATCAGGATGACGGCAGATGCTGTCGTACAGGACTGGATAGACGGTGAGTGGAATACGTGACTGCGAGTAATAAGGTGGGGGAAAGCAGCAAGGGTATCAAGTATTCGGATTGCACCTACTTCGGTTGTTCACTGTTATATGTGAACGAATCCGGCTTCCATGAAAAAACCGGAGCACTTGTAATTCAAAC